AGGCAGGCGAAGCGGCAGCCAGAGGAGCTGCAGCAGCAACAGCAGCAGCAACACGAGCTGCAGCAATCGCAGCAGCAACAGCAGCAACAGCAGCAGCAGCAGCTGCTGCTGCGGCAGATCCTGGATATGGTCAGCACAAGCAAGTGCTCGAGTGATCCTGCTGCTGCTTTATCTTTCATGTTTGCTTCTGAAGGCCCAATAAAGAACAGTGAGGAGGTGCTGTTGCCTCCAGCAGCAGCAGCACCAGCAGGCAGCAGCAGCTGCAGCAGCAGCTGCTGCTGCAGCAGAGCTTGGCGCTTCTTTCGCTGCAGGTGCTGCGGTGTCTTGACGCATGCAGCTGCTGCTGACTCCGCGGGCCCTTCTGTTGCTCTTTTCATCGGCTTCGAGTGTATGGACAGCAAGCGCAGCGCAGCAGCAGCAGCAGCAGCAGCAGAGGCGGCACCGTCAGCTGCTGCTCCTGCTGCTGCCGCTGGTGCTGTCGCCGAGGTGGAAAACAAAAGCGGTTGCTGCTACTTGGAGCAAGAAAGAAGCCGCCGTAGCAGCAGCAGCAGCACTAGCAGCAGCAGCAGCAGCAGCAGCGGCAGCAGCAGCAGCAGTTCGTCGGCTGAAGAATGTGAGGGGATCTACAGCCCTAAATGGGGCCGAGTGTTTCTGGGAGAGGCATTTGTTGCAGCAGATAAAGAGAAGAAAGGTGGGGACAAGCACAGGCGCCGCAGCAGCAAACTGCAGCAACAGCAGCAGCTGCAGCAGCTGCAGCAGCTGCACCTGCTGCAGACACAGCAGCCGCAGCAGCAGCTGCTGCAGCAGCCGCAGCAAAACCACGCCAAGAAGCTGCCGTTTCGGCTGCTGCGCCACCGGAAAGTCCTTTCGCTTTGTCTTGCTGATTTATTATTTCCCAAGCAGCAGCAGCAGCAGCAAACATATTTGGTTAAGCTGACAGACATGCAGCAGCAGCAGCAGCAACTGCTGCATTAGAAGCAACAGCAAGGCCTCCACAAGCAGCCGCAATGAAACTGAAAGCAACGGCAACGACGCCACAGACGCCAGCAGCAGCAGCAGCAGCACGCTGTTGCTACTCTTGCTGCTGCCGCTGTTGCTGCTGCTGCTGCTGCGCGGTTTCGTTTGTTTTTTCCATGTTTTTGTAGGCCGGATGTATAATTTCTTATTTTTGTTTCCTTTCGCCGATTTAGTGTCTCTCCATATATTCATTTTTCGGTTTATTCTTCTCTTGCTGCTGCTGCAGCAGCAGCAGCAGCAGCAGCAGCAGCCTTGTGTGTGTGTCGCTGTCCACCTGTCTATACACCTGAAACGCGGCGCAGCGCGGCCCCGCCTGGAGTTTCCTTTTGTTGATTTTCTCCTTTTTGTCTGTTATTTCTGCCGATTTAATATTTCTTTATTTTTCCAGGGTTTAGGGTTTAGGGTTTAGGGTTTAGGGTTTGGGGTTTTTTAAATTGAAGTAGATCTACTTTTAACAAAGGGAGTTGCAGAAGTCGCCGAAATCCAGCTACTAGAGCTGCTGCTGCAGTTAAGTACATTTTGACCGGAAAAGCCCCATTTCCATGCATGCGTTTGCGTGCATGCGTTTGCGTGCATGCATTCGCATGCATGCATTTGCATGCATGCAAATGGGGCTTGCATGCGCATGCAAGTGCATGCATGCATGCATGCGCATGCTGGGCGGCCCAAATGTCTGCATTTGTGCAAATTAAATAAATATTTTTGAAGTTTTTGAAATGAGACTTTATGATTTTATTTGGGAAGTAAACCCTAAAGGATTAGTTAATTATAAAGGGCGCAAAAAGCTGCTGAAAATGTAAACCCTTTGAGGGAAAATAAACCCTAAAAAAGCGGATAAGCCGAAAAAAACAAACTGGAAAAGGATCGAAGCGTAAACCCTAAAAAAGCGGGTAAGCCGGAAGCAACAAAACTGGAAAAAGAAGGAAGCCCAAAAATGCGAAAACCCTAAGAGGGAATAAGGGTGCAAGCGAAGCAAGTATACCCTAAAGAGCTAAACCCTAAAAGAGGGAATACATCCGAAGGAGGGGTCAAACCCTAAAAGGGCCTTTCATATGGAATAAACCTTAAGCGGAAATAAAACAGAAGAATAATTCAAATCTTGAAACTTGAGGAAAAAATAACCCTCAAGAGGTTCTGAAGACGAGATAAACCCTAAAAGAGGGAATAAACGCTAAAAGAGGGAATAAACCCTAGGGAGAGGATAAAGCTCTAAAAGAGGGGATAAACCCTAAAAGAGGGGGTAAACGCTAAAAGAAGAGATACACCTCCAATAGAGGGGATAAACGCTAAAGAGGGGATAAACCCTTAAAGGGGGATTAAACACTAAAAGAAAGATAAACCCTAAAATAGGGAATAAATAAACCCTAAGAGGACTCTGCGTCTGAAAGGAAGTGTTCTAAAGACTAAAAACAATGGTTTATTTGCATTCTGAACTTCTTTTGTTTTTAAGCTGTTGGTTATATGCATATATGTATTTGTTTATCACGTATTTTCTATTTACATTTATTTATTTATTTATTTATTTATTTATTTATTTTATTTATTTATTACCACTTGGATGCAAAAGGCAAAAAACTAGAAGACAAATGAGCGGAAACAGTTTCTGAATAGCAGCGGTGGTTCTGCCGCCTGCAGCCTCCAGGGTGTAGGGTTTAGGGTTTAGGGTTTAGGGTTTAGGGTTTAGGGTTTAGGGTTTCGTCTTTGATTTGTTTGAGTCTGCAAATTCTTTCGAGGGCCGCGGCGTCGGGCCACACTTCCTGAGGTGTATGTACACCCGAAAGCCACCCCACAGATGGAAATATTTCCAACTTTGTGGGGCCCCGATTTTCGCCCACTGCGGGGCTCAGCAGCAAACAGTAAATCCTAAAGCAGCAGCAGCAGCAGCAGCAGCAGCGAGCGAAAGCAGCTAGGGTCTAGGGTTTGGCGGCTAGGGTTTGGGGGTTGCGGCTGCGGTTTCAATTTAGGGTTTAGGGTTTAGGGTTTTGAGGGCAAAACGCCGCTTCTTCGACGCAACTGCCTAACATTGCACCTAGTTGAGGGTTTAGGGTTTATAGTTTAGAGCTTAGGGTTTAGGATTTAGCGTTTAGGGCTACGGGTTTAGGCTTTGGGGTTTAGGGTTTAGGGTTTAGGGTTTAGGTCACTCCTCAGCTATGGCCTTATCAGCATCCCGTCCAAAGTAAGAAGCACTAGGGGAGCTCAGGAGCGCTTCTGGAAACCACAAAAACACCTTATACCTCTCTTAGGGTTTAGGGTTTAGGGTTTAGGGTTTAGGGTTTAGGGTTTAGGGTTTACCTTTCAGGGCCAGTTTCTCGAGCTGTTTGCCAGCAATCTGACTGGCGTAAACGGCCCGACACCGCAGCATTGATAAAACTCGAAAGCGATTTGTCTTCTGCAGCAGCAGCAGCAGCAGACGCAGCAGCAGCAGCAGAAGCAGCAGTAACAGCAGTAGCAGTGGTAGCAGCAGCGGAAGTAGCAGCAGCAGCAAACACAGCGGCAATAGCGGCAGCAGCAGAAAAGGCAGCAGCGACAGCAACGGCAGGAGCAGCACCATTAGTAGCAGCAACAGCAGCAGCAGCAACAGCAGCTGCAGTGTAGGCGCAGGAATCTACTGCAGCGCGAGCTGCGCTGCTGCTGCTGCTACTGCTACTGCTGTTGCTGTTGCTGTCGTCGAAAATTTTTCAAGTGGGCATTCAGTAGCTCCTAAACCCTAGACCCTAAACCCTAAACCCTAAACCCTCTGCTATAACCCTTAAGCGCATTTGATTGGGTTGCAGCGGCACTGAGGCAGCAGAAGCAGCAGCAGCAGCAGCAGCAGCAGCAGCAGCAGCAGCAGCAGCAGCAGCAGCAGCAGCAGTAACAGCAGTAGTGGCTGCAACAGAGCCAGCAGCAGCATTAGAAACATTTTTGAGCAGCAGCACGAGCATATACGATTATTTATTTATTTATTTATTTATTTATTTATTTATTTATTTATTTATTTATTCATTTATGTATTTATCCATTTATTTATTTATTTGTTATTTCATTTATTTATTTATTTATTTTACCTCATCAAAAACTCTCCTCTCATTTAATTCCGCTTGCATCTCGTCAAACTGTTTGTACACCTCATGACGCAGGTCCCGATGAAGTCTGCAAACCCTAAACCCTAAACCCTAAACCCTAAACCCTAAACCCTAAACCTTAGAGCCTAGTTGCCTGGCGCGCGGCGAAACAGAAATACAACAAGCGCCGTGTGCCGAATGTCCACAGAGTTTAGACCTCCTGAGGTTTAGGGTTTAGGGTTTAGGGTTTAGGGTTTAGGGTTTAGGGTTTGCAGACTTCATCGGGACCTGCGTCATGAGGTGTGCGAACAGTGTGACGAGATGCAAGCGGAATGAGATGAGAGGAGAGTTTTTGATGAGGTAAAATAAATAAATAAATAAATGAAATAACAAATAAATAAATAAATGGATAAATACATAAATGAATAAATAAATAAATAAATAAATAAATAAATAAATAAATAAA